CCAGCCAACAACAGGGGTATGACCTGTGTTGCACCACCAGCTAACAACAGGGGTATGACCTGTGTTCCACCACCAGCCAACAACAGCGGTATGATCTGTGCTCCACCACCAGCCAACAGCAGGGGTATGACCTGTGTTCCACCACCAGCCAACAACGGGGGTATGACCTGTGTTCCACCACCAGCTAACAACAGGGGTATGATCTGTGCTCCACCACCAGCCAACAACGGGGGTATGACCTGTGTTCCACTACCAGCCAACAACGGGGTTTGACCTGTGTTCCACCACCAGCCAACAACTCGGTTAGGACCTGTATTTCACCACTAGCCAACAACAGGGGTATGACCTGTGTTCCACCACCAGCTAACAACAGGGGTATGACCTGTGTTCCAACACAAGCCAACAACAGGGGTATGACTGTGCTCCACCACCAGCCAACAGCCGGGGTATGACCTGTGTTTCACCACCAGCCAACAACCGGGGTATTACCTGTGTTTCACCACCAGCCAAAAAAGGGGTAATACCTGTGTTTCACCACCAGCCAACAGCCGGGGTAAGACCTGTGTTCCACCACGAGCCAACAACAGGGGTATGACCTATGTTCCACCACCAGCCAACAGCAGGGGTATGACCTGTGTTCCACCACCAGCCAACAACAGGGGTATGACTGTTTCACCACAAGCCAACAACGGGGGTATGACCTGTGTTCCAGTACCAGCCAACAACAGGGGTATGACTGTGCTCCACCACCAGCCAACAACCGGGGTATGACCTGTGTTCCACCACCAGCCAACAACGGGGGTATGACCTGTGTTTCACCACCAGCCAACAACGGGGGTATGACCTGTGTTCCACCACCAGCCAACAACAGGGGTATGACCTGTGTTCCACCACCAGCCAACAACGGGGGTATGACCTGTGTTTCACCACCAGCCAACAACTGGGGTATGACCTGTGTTCCACCACCAGCCAACAACAGCGGTATGATCTGTGTTCCATCACCAGCCAACAACAGGGGTATGACCTGTGTTCCACCACCAGCCAACAACAGGGGTATGACTGTTTCACCACAAGCCAACAACGGGGGTATGACTGTGTTCCACCATCAGCCAACAACAGGGGTATGACTGTTTCAAAACAAGCCAACAACGGGGGTATGACCTGTGTTCCACCACCAGCCAACAACAGGGGTATGACCTGTGTTTCACCACCAGCCAACAGCAGTGGTATGACCTGTGTTTCACCACCAGCTAAGAACAGGGGTATGACCTGTGTTTCACCACCAGCCAACAACCCGGGTATGACCTGAATCAAATTATTTAGTCAAAAGTAGAATGAGAGGTTAGGTGTTATGTCGACAGACTTCTGTATAATACACACAGTTTATATATTAAAACTTTCGTATATAATAAACACTTTAAATAAAGTACTGGTATATATATATATATATATATATATATATATATATATATATATATATATATATATATATATGTATGTATGTATATATATATATATATATATATATATATATATATATATATATATATATATATATATATATATATATATATATATATATTCAAGTAGTAGGGCTAGACAATGTCCCTATAAACCTCTTTAATGTGTTGTCTATTCGCTTAAGATCAGGGTCTAGCACTTAATACAATGCTCTGTCTTCTGTGGAAACTTGATCTTCACCCTTTATCTTGGGAAGACGGTACAAATGCGTCTACAAGAAGATCAGTGTGAGTATTCTTAGAGATTAGTAACTTTTTGTTTAGGTGGAGTTTTTCATGACATCTATCAAGGCACCCGCTGTTACTTTTTTTTCGCTGCTCGAATTCTCAACATCCGCTGCCGAAAAACGTTTTACAACGGGTAAACAAATCACGCTAACAACAAATCTGATGCCTATTATAATTCAAATATGACATAAAATACGAACATGATATTTAAGAAAAAAATGTGGGCCTGATCCAGATAACACAACAATACATATTGCTTATTCTTTCCGGTTTCTTATATCTAACTAGGGATTTCTCTTATCCTTTCGTTCTAAGTTCTTCAAGTACATACCCGTTTTTTTTAAAATTGTTTTCTATATCTTTAGCATTTTATATTTTTGGGATATCATTTGTCTCATCTTTCAGTCTGGGCGGACCTTCCATAGTTTCATTTATATTAGAATTTGTCATATATCTTATTATTATTTACATTATCGATGTATTCTAGCGATCTATATACTTTGTTCAGCTTATGCATGTTGAATATATCTGTTCTATAACTCGATACGAACTTAATGCATGCTTGCTAATGCAACCAAATATTAGAGCTTGCAAAAGATTTAAGTTCGATTTTTTTGTCACTGTGTCTACAAGGGCCACATGTCGTTGACAAAGTTTAGGTTCTGAACAGCTTGTTTACCGTTCCACAATTCAGTCCGGTTCTTTAATAATATCCTACCCCAGATGCCGTCACAGGACAGTCCAACATTTTAGAGGGTGGTTTCGCGACTTTCTGATGCTTTTAGCGACCCCAAAACATCTAGAACTGGCCCTAACCCCAACCCACCTACGTCCAACGAGAGAATGCAGCCTAGGTCCCACGACCGCATGCAGCATATCTACCACCCCCTGAAATGTTAGACTGTCCCGTGATTTACCCTGTTTGGGGGAGGATATTAATAAAGCACCTTCAATCCTTTATCTGCGTGTCGTGCACTTACATGAACATGAACAAGTTGAGTTAAGCTGAGTTCAATGAGAAACCGAAATCATAGAACTTTTCCATAAATAAATTATTGAATCAATGAATAAATAACTTATCTCAGTCAGGGTATTCCCTTTCTTCCTTCGTGTTTAACAAAGAGTACCCATACTGATGATGTAAGATGCAACCTAATCAACGTTGACATATTTTCCACTGCAATTAGTCAGTCATCTAGAGTTTCTGCTCACTTTCTCCTCAATGATTATCTCCAGATGTGGGTGGTGAATACATTTTCCCATAAGCGCTTTATCATCACCCTCGGCAGCAGGTGCAAAGCTCCGTTTTGATTATATACATCCAGCGCAATTGTCTTTATTCTGTGATTTATTATCAGGCCAGTTGAAAACTGCTGCGACTGCCTACACATGAATTCTCAAACCACATGTTGTGGTATCAGTGCCTAGCCTTCGTTGTATTATGCGTTTTGAATTTTCTCTGCGATGAACTAAGAGGGCCATTTCTATCACTAAACAGAGAACCATCGGTATTATTGAAAAAAAAAAGGTCACATTGGGAGAAAATGGCTATAAATCAGTTGTTGAATTTATGATTTTCTAGTGTCTGCTAGCAAATCATTGGACTTCTTTAATGTTTCAATGATGCATACGTGTCTAATTATGCATCATTCCTTCCTATTATTAACCTGCGACCCTCAACTGTATTCAGGTCTTAGCGCAGAAGTTGTTTCTTTTTTGTGGAGACTCCGAGGTATTGCCCCACCGTTACATCTTTGAGTCTGCAATAGTCAGTAATCAATATTGATGTATCTCTAGTCTTAGCGGAATTACTTGCATGGCTTCAATCTGTATATGTATTCGAGTTTCATGGGCCGACTCTTTGATACAGTGAGCAGTTCATAAATCACCACCAAGATGATCCACAGCTGACAACATCGTGAACAACATTCCTTGCTGGCTGCCAGAATGAGCCAAAACTTTCAGTGTATTGGGATTTGCTGCAACTGCCTCTACAAGGTCCTAGAAGAAGTGGCTTCCATACAAAAATGACTACTCCTATTTTTGATCACTTTCGCTGTGTATATTTCTCTTTAATAATTTAGGAGTCTTAAAACATCAGCTCTAACAATTCTGTTGTCAGGTAAGTACTTCAACGCACACACACACACATACGCACGCACGCGCGCGCGCATACACACACACACCACACACACACACACTCACACACACACACACACACACACACACACACACACACGTATGCACGCACGCACACACACACAGGAACCCAAAAAAGGCTGACTTCTCTTGGTTGATGAAAGCACGCATTTCTTTGACACCAGTCACGTTGCCAGCTGTAGTGTATAACTGCTGTGCTGTCTCTGGTCTGTTACCTATCGCTTCCATGTCTATCTGCAAGAATACCGTTTGAAAATGTCAATATTTTCACAACTAGATGCTTTAACCTCTGTAATTTCCCTTGTATACACACTAAAGAGCAAAGATGAAATTACAGGTCTTTGTTTGTAGTACCTGGGCTCTGAGATCTGTATAAACAGACGGAGGGCAACATACGAAATTACAAGATAGCTGCTGTCCTGTTCTCGAGTTAGAGACGGACCCTATTCTGCATCAACGTGGATCCATCACTGACTTGTTTTTGTTTTTGTTTCCTGTCTTCCAGATCGAGTAGAGGTGGCGGTCAACGGCAGGTATTCTATTCCTGAATGAAGTAGAAGAGGAAAGGCAAGATACAGTAGAAGCAAAAGAAAAAGAAGAAAAAGAAAAAAGAAAAATGAAGAAGAGGAAGAAGGAGGAGGAGGAGGAGGAGAAGAAGTAGAAGAAGAAGAGGAAGAAGAAGAAGAAAAAGAAGAAGAAGAAGAAGAAGAAGAAGAAGAAGAAGAAGAAGAAGAAGAAGAAGAAATACTAGTTCAAGTAGTAGCAGTACTATTTGCAACAACAACAGCAACAGTAGTAGCAGCAGCAACAGCAGCAGCAGTAGTAGTAGTGGTGGATGTGGTGGTAGAAGTTGTTGTTTTTGTTGATGTTGTTGTAGATTTATGAACCTCACAATAAAACACTCTGCATCTACAATAAATAGGGTACATACGGTAAATAATCCATCCACATAATCTGGCTGCCGTCACATGGCCCAGTCCCTGTATATAAAAGTGTGGAACGTCTTCCGCTAAACACCAGAAGGAACGACGCGAGACTTCCCGACACTCTTATTTGCTCTTGTTTGTTCACAGCCTTAGAAGACATCTCAACATGACATACAGGAAAACATGCTTTGTGAGTTATTTGTCTGTATTTCTTCAAAAGCGTGCATGGTGTAGTCAACAAGATGTTAAGATGGCTGTCCGTTTGGCTAGCTGTCTGACTGGCGCTTTGGATAGCTTCTGTCTGACCGCCCGTTTAGCTGTCTGCCTGTTTGGCTGCCTGTTTGGCTGTCTGCCTGTTTGGTTGCCTCTTTGGCTGTCTGCTGTTTGGCTGTCTGTTTGGCAGTCTGCCTGCTTGGTTACCTGTTTGGCTGTTTGCCTGTTTGGTTGCCTGTTTGGCTGGCTGTTTGGCTGTCTGCCTTTTTGGTTGCCTGTTTGGCTGTCTGCCTGTTTGGCTGTCTGCCTGTTTGGCTGTCTGCCTTTTTGGTTGCCTGTTAGGCTGTCTGCCTGTTTGGCTGTCTGCCTGCTTGGTTACCTGTTAGGCTGGCTGTTTGGCTGTCTGCCTGCCTGCTTGGTTGCCTGTTTGGCTGTCTGCCTGCTTGGTTGCCTGTTTGGCTGTCTGCCTGCTTGGTTGCCTGTTTGGCTGGCTGTTTGGCTGTCTGCCTGTTTGGCTGTCTGCCTGCTTGGTTACCTGTTAGGCTGGCTGTTTGGCTGTATGCCTGTTTGGTTGCCTGTTTGGCTGGCTGTTTGGCTGTGTGCCTGTTTGGCTGTCTGTCTGCTTGGTTACCTGTTAGGCTGGCTGTTTGGCTGTCTGTTTAGCTGTCTGCCTGTTTGGCTGCCTGTTTGGCTGGCTAGCTGTTTAGCTGTTTGGCTGGCTGGTTTCTGTCTGTCTCTCTTCTGTTTGTTAATTGTATGATCGACTGGTTGTTTGACTAGCTGGCTGGCTTGCTTGCTGAATTTAGTGACTTTTTATCTGTTCTGTTTGCTGATCAGCTGGTGTCATTTCTCTCTGTTTGGTAGGGGCTGAGTGTTCTCCAGGCATGGTGTCCGCCCCGAGTGCTAGAGGTTCCGGGTTTAATCCCCAGTAAGGGCTTGGATTTTTTCACATGGACTTGGACTCTAGTAATTCCTCCTGGTCTCTGGGTAGTGAGACGCCCGTGTGCATTGTTGCGCACGTAAAGAATCCATTGGCGGAACTCGAAAAGAGTGGCCTAACGGCGCTGCCCGGGCAAAATTTAGAGTTAAAAATCTACCCAACGTGTTTAAGGATCCTCGCCGCTGCTACAGAGCCTGTGCACTGTCCTGAGCTTCTTCGGACTCAGGCAGTGTGCCATGATTATGATCCGTTGTTCAAAACCTCAAAAACCTCTGTTTGGTGGCGGCAAGCCGGTGGTTCAGATGTCTGTCTGATTAGCTGGTTATTCATGGGTTTTAGCAAACTTGTTCTTCATTTGGAGATGACAAGTTCGATTCCTAGAATTCGATTCTTATCTTGTTAATTGTGCTCCTCTATCGCTTTGTGCTTATGTCTCTGTGGCTGGCTGGCTCGATGGCTGCCTGTTTGGTTGTCTGTCTATCTGAATTTCTTTTTGGCTGAATGTTTGGCTTACTGGCTGGCTGTTTAACTGACTGTTTGTTTACCTGTCCGTCTGCCTGTTTGACTGACTGTTTACCTTTCCGTCTGCCTGTTTAACTGACTGTTTGTTTACCTGTCCGTCTGCCTGTTTGACTGACTGTTTACCTGTCCGTCTGCCTGTTTGACTGACTGTTTACCTGTCCGTCTGCCTGTTTGACTGACTGTTTACCTTTCCGTCTGCCTGTTTGACTGACTGTTTACCTGTCCCTCTGCCTGTTTGACTGACTGTTTACCTGTCCGTCTGCCTGTTTGACTGACTGTTTACCTTTCCGTCTACCTGTTTGACTGACTGTTTACCTGTCCGTCTGCCTGTTTGACTGACTGTTTACCTTTCCGTCTGCCTGTTTGACTGACTGTTTACCTGTCCGTCTGCCTGTTTGACTGACTGTTTACCTTTCCGTCTGCCTGTTTGACTGACTGTTTACCTGTCCGTCTGCCTGTTTGACTGACTGTTTACCTTTCCGTCTGCCTGTTTGACTGACTGTTTACCTGTCCGTCTGCCTGTTTGACTGACTGTTTACCTTTCCGTCTGCCTGTTTGACTGACTGTTTACCTGTCCGTCTGCCTGGCTAGCTATCCTTTTGCTGGCTGGTTCTTAAATTGTGAAAAGGTATGTTGATTTTGGTTGCTGTTTATTTCGCTTGCAGTTTGTTTGAATGTTTAGCTGTTTCGCTAGCTGTCTAGCTGGCAGGATTGTTCTCTCTGTTTTTGGTGGCTATTTGGTTAGGTGTCTATGTGTTGGCGGTGTGTACATTTAGGGGGCTGGGTGGTCTCGAGACATCTACCCAAAGTGTCCGGATCCTCAGTGGAGCTACAGAGCCTGTGCATTGTGCTGAGCGTCCTTGGACTCAGACTTGAGTTATAAGAAAGAACGGTGCACTATGGGTTACTACCCGTGTGCCATGATTTTGATCCGTTGTTCAAACTGCATCCTATGTGTCCATTTGACTGGATGGCTGTCGTTTTGCCTGTTTAGCTAGGTGGTTGGCTGTTTCACTGACAGACTACCTGTTTGGCTGTCTTTTTAGTTGGCCGTCGTTTGTCTTCCTTGCTATTTGCTTGGCTATCTGATTGATGTTTGACTGTCTGACTATTTGGCTGACTGGATAGCTGGCTGATTGCCTGTATATGTTTCTAGTTGGCTGTTTGTCTATCTGATTGATGTTTGACTGTCTGACTATTTGGCTGACTGGATAGCTGGCTGATTGCCTGTATATGTTTCTAGTTGGTTTTTGTTTGAATGTCTATAAGTATGGTTATCCCTCCAACTGACTAACTGTTTGTCCTTCTGGCCAATAGACGGTCTACCCATTTGGTTTGATGGTTTTGCTTTCCGCCAGGTAGTTTGGCTGGCTGTTTGTCTTGCTGGCGGTCAATCGGGTAAGCTTGCTGACTATCAGGCTAGATGTCTCTTTGAATAGCTGGCTGTTTTGGTTGGCTATTCAGTTAGATAGCTGGCTGTTTTGGTTGGCTATTCAGTTAGATAGCTGGCTGTTTTGGTTGGCTATTCAGTTAGATAGCTGGCTGTTTTGGTCGGCTATTCAGTTAGATAGCTGGCTGTTTTGGTTGGCTATTCAGTTAGATAGCTGGCTGTTGTGGTCGGCTATTCAGTTAGATAGCTGGCTGTTTTGGTCGGCTATTCAGTTAGATAGCTGGCTGTTGTGGTTGGCTATTCAGTTAGATAGCTGGCTGTTGTGGTCGGCTATTCAGTTAGATAGCTGGCTGTTTTGGTCGGCTATTCAGTTAGATAGCTGGCTGTTTTGGTCGGCTATTCAGTTAGATAGCTGGCTGTTGTGGTCGGCTATTCAGTTAGATAGCTGGCTATTGTGGTCGGCTATTCAGTTAGATAGCTGGCTGTTGTGGTCGGCTATTCAGTTAGATAGCTGGCTGTTGTGGTCGGCTATTCAGTTAGATAGCTGGCTGTTCAATAAGGCTGTGGTTGTTTGGTTTGCTGATTGACCTCTTGGCTGTTTACTTGTTTGACAATCTGGATGTTTGACTGGCAAGCTGTTTGGCTGGTTTGGAGTGGACGACTTTCTGTCTGTTTGCCTAGTTAGCTATTTGATTGATCGTCTATCTCTTTGTCTGACTGGCCGCGTGACTTTCTGATCGTCTATCTCTTTGTCTGACTCGCCTCGTGACTTTCTGTCTTTTTGCATCAACAAAGATAACGTCCAATTGCAGTATCAGAAATGAAAGTTTGGGACGCAATGTAATACGCCTACGTATCCAGTTTGTTAACCTTTGAACAATAAATCTTGTTCGTTCGTTCTTGCTGTTTGACTTACAGGTCGTCTTGTTTGCTGTCTCACTATCTGTTGGCCCGGCTAGCTGTTGACTGTTTGGCCGTCTGTCCGTTCCTCTTGGCAGAATAATTCTATGAAGATCTCAATCAAGGTCTTCATCATCATGAATTTGAATTGACCGGATTTAAACGCTACCTAGAGAGCTAACCTCTCCTAGATAACATTAGTTATAATTTTGGCTCCTGTTCATAATCTTGTTTCATTGTGCGTTTCTTAGTGTTGTAGCTCCCATCTCTGCCAAGCTAAGTTTTCTGCTCTTTGTTTGTAGGGCCGTCATCTTCGTGCTGATTGGTTAGTTTAGTGCTCTGTATGTTGCCGGATTATATGATCTCGGCCACTGGTTGCTGCCCTCTGTTTCATTTTCATAATGTGTGTGCTATTGTAGTGGCTCTGTTGAAGACAGTCATGTGGTTTATTCCATCGTGTGATATGTCAATGGTTTCCAATACACGGCATATACGAGAATGATCTCAGTTGTTGTCTTGATCTGGCTCTGGCATTCGAAATGCTCTCCGTATGCTGTCTTCCCACGTCTCCATGTGAGATATTCCCTGCCGTCATCCTAATACTGGCTTGGTAAGACTTCCTCTGTACTATTTTGATTCTTTTATTCCTCCGTTGGATTATTGCTTCTTTGTAAAAACCTGTAGGCCACTAGTCTACTTTGTTCTTCGTGCTATTTACACAGAGTCTATCTTGATCGCTTTAATAGTTCTTTCATAGTTTTCGTGGGAACTGTTGGTTTGCCTCTCTCACCAGGTCTTGGCTTTGGCTTTGTTGTTTACGTCTCTTTAGTTTTCTTGTCTGGCTTAAGAGGTCTTACAATCTTAGTGTCGACTGGTTCTTGCTGTACTAGAGCTCTCTATCGTTTTTTGTTTGTTTTTGTTTTTTTGTTTTATGTCTCTGAGCATTGTGAAAATCTCTGCATTGAACGCTTCCATTAATGTTGATTCGGTCGCCACCTGTCTTTGGAACTTCTAATGTAGCTTTCAGTGTATCTCTCGTGTATGTTTATCTGTATGTGCTTAAGTCCTGCAATCGCCTTTTCAAGCCGAAGTTTCTGGATATCATTGTTCAACTGGTCTATGTAATCTCTAAGTCTTGACTTGCCCAGCAAAGTGTCGCTATGGGGTGTCTCATGTCTTCTTTGGGCTTTTTTATAGGGTAAATTCTATCTGATGACTGTTTTCATTGTCTCTCTGCACTATTGAAGATATGGTATCTAAATAGATATGGCATCCCAGGTATCTGGCCCCATGTGGCCCGGAGCAGTTTGTGCATTTCTTGTTTGTGCTGGGCTTTCGGAAATCGCTGTAGGCATGAGGCTCAGAGCAATATCTGCAAATTCCGGCTGAGCCAAGTTGTTCTTGAATGCCAAGCCTTCTGTCAGAGCGAACATTTCAGTATCGGTGGGATACACTGCTCTGGTCTTTGTGGTTTCTTGTCAAACATAATTTTGTTTAGGATATTGTCACCTTCGGTTGTCACCACAGCCCCTGTCGTAGGGATGTGTTTGATCCCAGTATCTCCATCTTGGTACTGAGTAATTCTAAGTTTCTTTCCCGGTATTTGGTCTGGTATTTTCTTGTCGGTTAGTTGTAACTGAATTCTCTAGACAACCCACCTCCGTATAGTCTAGTACAAGGTGGCCACAACCACCATCGCATTCGGTAGCTGTAGTTCTTGTTTGGGATGTCTTCTTGATCTCCTGTACCATTTGCACTTATATGTAATCTTAGTAACTTTTCCAACTCTGACTTTCTTCAGCTTCACTATGGATCGCTGCACCCACAGGCCCTCCAGTAGCGTCAGGATTGCCAGCATGTTAAGGGTAGTTACTGCATCTTTTTCGACGCTGGCCTGTCGAATCAAGATTGTGGTCGGGAATGTGTGACTATCGTTCAGTTGACTTTCAGTCATGTCTGCGTCTGTCTGCGCCTCTGGCCCGCTGGAATGCCCCCTGATTTCAGTTGCTTCGGTATTCTTCTTCTCGGTAGTAACTGGGTGTTCACCTTCTTCAGTCCCGGAGAGCTGTCAAAACTTCCTCCATCTTTTATAGCTGTTATCTAAGCTCATTCTGACCCGGAGTGTTATAACTCTTGTCTAGACAAGTGTCAGTTAAAGCCATACCACAGAAGCAGTTCACAAATATGTCTAGGTTATCAAGTAATAAATAGTGAACATCTCATAATGATTTATAACTACATTATTCTACAAAGTGAGTTACTTTTTGTTGTTGCTGATACTCTTCCGTATTTGCAGACGATAGTGTTATACTGTGTTCAGCGGAGGTCTGGGACTCCCAGCACATGGCGATGGCGAGTGTCACTAGCAAGACCTGTCCGTGTTAAGAAAAGTGTTCCAGAATTATAGCCTGGGATTCCAGAAACTTTGTTGTCAACATTTGTGATTAGTCTGTTTCTTGTCAGACGCCCAGATCTCATCCTTTCTGAATCATTTCTATCTACATTCTCATTCCCTTCCTGATTTGCCCTATCCACGCAACACGGTCAATGACATTGAGTTTCCAGAATTCACCTCAGTACCTGTATAATTCATGTCTCGCTTGCGCACATCTTTATAGGTCAGCTTAGACATCTTATATCTGTAATTCACCATATAGGATATCTTTGGGGATCCAGCCACCTGAGCCTTTGTAGACCAAGCATTCAGAAAAACCGTTGCAATACTTGCTCTTTCCAATGTCCCACTGTGTTGAAAGTCTAATCCAAAGAATTGACACTCTTATTTATATTTTCCACACATAGGAATCTCCTGACTTCACTTATATACCTGGAGGTCTGAATGTTGGAGCACAGATCATTATCCGAGGAAGAGTTGCACTTGATCAGGAGAGGTAAAACTTACTTTAGGGTTTTACAAAACTCGCTCGCATACTTTTAATAGAAGCATTGTCACTCGAAAGTTGTGTGTCTGAGTGTGATCGTTACATAATTTATTTGAAATGTACGGTGATTTAATCAGTATCATGCTGCTGTGTTTTTTTTCCCAGGCAGGAATTGTGTAGGTACTCACGTTTTGCTGAGTCTATTTGAACTTGACTTAAGCTGCCAAGCTTAAGTCAAGTTCAAATAAACTCCATATCTCTTTAGAGATTTGAACACATGACTAGATGATTGAAAAATTGAGTTGAGCTGAGTCAAGAAATGACTTCTCAGCACTCGGGGCATTTCCATGCATGTTCCATCCTCATCTTCAGCAGCTAGTACAGAGTTCCAATACTGATTGTATCGGTCAAAATCTGGTTATATGTCCGTCTTGCCTTTCCTCTGAGTGTAGTGAGCCGGCCACATACCCCAGGTGCCTCATTCTCTCCAGGCCATAATTTCTATCTCTACTGATTCCGTTGCTTGTTCCCAAAGGGCCTTGACCACTTCTGCCTTGTCATGTATCAGTTCACCACGTGGAGATCCAGCGAATATGTCTCTCTGTTCATTACCCACCACGCCGGCATAGCCTGGAGAAAAAAATCCAAAGTATGCTTACTACCCGTGACCTTTCTAGTGAAGCTTGCCACTCTGCTCGAAGCATCCCTGTCTTCACCTTTCTTAGGATGTTTACAGAGTCTGTTGAAACGCCAGTGTGCTATCAACCGGCCTGTTATGGATTTTAAGTGTAGACAGACAATGTATTGACGATAGCTACTGTGACACAGTCGTCTCTGAAAATTGTCTATGCTTCACCAAAATGACCCAGGTTCAGTATGGTTTTGTGTCAAGGGTGGCGGGTGATTGTTGATAGACGAGGAGAAAGATGGTCGTGTCGATAGTGGAATTGGTGATGCTTGTAAAATAAAGTGTCTGAATACAACTGTTCAGGATCACACTGAATTTATTATGACACTCCAATAAATGTGACCGAATACATCAAATAATACTCTAAGAATGCTGAATCCTCTAAGTACTCATAGAATCGCGTTGTGTTTTCTATCTCTAGTTACTTTGTAAACTAGTGCCATTGTCTTTGACTGCCACCGGGCTACTAGTGCAGGTTGGGCTAAAATGTTTGTTATTTAATGCCGACTAACTACTTATCTATGCTCTGGCCTCTTCTTCGTCTGCCTCCGAGTCATTATCTGACAGTAACTCTAATCGAATACATATATTTATATATTTATCTCTTTAACTATCTTTTTATCTACAAAACTGACCGGTACTTCGCTCTACTATCTGTCTCTGTCTCTATCTCTAGCCTGTCCTCTGGGCAGTCCTCTGCTGTCCTCTGTTGTCCTCTTTCTTCTGCCTCAGGCTATCTCCGTTTGTGTCTTGAGTCTTCTCTGTCTGTGTCTATCCTTTGTCTGTCCCCGACTATCCTCTGGCCTGTCTGTTTATCCTCTGGCCTGTCTCCGTCTGTGTCTGTGTCCTCTGTGTGTGTGTCTTCTGTCTCTCCCCGACCATCCTCTGTTGTCCGTCTCGTGTGTCTGTGTGTCCTGGCTGTCTGAGTGTGTCCCTGTGTGTCTCAAAGGTTCCGGGCAATCGTTTATAAAGGGGTTACTAGCCCGCTCCCAGGGGGCTCCTATTCCTCGTAGTTTTGCAGTCTTCTGCAGCGACCTTTGCTCGCCGGGTCCGTGGAATTTACAAATTAATTGTTTTGGTGCGGACGGGGAATGTCACATGCTAGTCAGACGACTCAAAGTACGTGGGAAACAAGAGTATGGACCTAGGGGGATATAGTTGCTTACTAATGGAAAGTTTTCAAAAACAAGGGTGAAGGCTATAAGGGGTCTTGTCGTGCAAACAGCACAACACTAAAAAAATGTGGTATGAGCAATGACTCTGCTACATATCCTTCCCACCCAATAAAAATATAAATTTTTAGGAAAAAATTTATCTTTTTCATTGAGCTAAGTGATCCTCTAACAATTTAGAACCTAGTTAACCCTACAGCTAAAAATTTGTAACAATATGAACTTAAAATACAATGTGTTTCATATGCAAACATTAAAAACAGTCAACAAAACTTAAATACACATTAAAATGCATTGAATTATAAAAGTCAAGCCACCGTAGAGAGACGCTCCTAATTGTACGGCGCCCCTGAATTAAGTGTCCTTGAGCGCGGGGCTCACAACAACATGGATTTTACAGTCTGGTCTATGCAAGGCGTGTCCGTCAACACTTCTCTTCATAACGACAGAGGGACATGTGAGAACTTCACATTGCTTTACCGGTTCGAATTCCTCTCGAATGGGTTCCAGAATATGTTACGTGGTTACAAACCACTCGGTTATATCCATGTCTTATAACAATAACTTTAGCGTCGCCAATATATAACAAACACATTTCTCATAGTGAAAATCATCAAATCAAAAAAAAAAATTACATCAAAGATACAACGACGTCATAAAATCAAATCACTTCGAATATCCATTTCATTTTTATGCATCCGACAGGCTGATCATTTGGTCTATAAAACACTCAACTGTCTGTATCTGCATATCCAGCAGTGCACAGAGTTACTGCCATAATTTCCTATCTCGTTGAGCCATTTAGGGTTCGAATTCTCGAAAAGTATCCTCAGCAAAACGAATTATAATTCTTTATAAAAGATTCCTCGGCGTAAGAAGCAGCCTCATAAATCTCGACCACGCCTGTCCTTTACGACATGCATCATCATTTATTTAAATCCACCGGTGTCCTTTACGACATGCATCTTCATTTATTTAAATCCACCGATGTCCTTTACGACATGCATCTTCATTTATTTAAATCCACCGATGTCCTCTACGACATGCATCTTTGTATGTTTAAACCAACATGTACATCAACAGATATATCAAATACATTACATTGCGCTTATAAATGGAAAATGCAACAAGCAAACAAATATAATCGGATAAGCTTGACAAGTCATAAATAAAAACAAAATAGTCATGAATAAGATTGTCATCTTAATATTCATACGCAGTTAGATATCATTTCGCTACGCTAAATTCAAACAAAGGAAATAAAACAAACGGGGGAAACAAAGGTGGCTAGCCTGGGATAATCAAAAATGATCTAAGGGGAACAATGCATTGAATTAAAGATTCTTTTGTCTCGCTGGATTACTCCACACTTTACCTACGCTCAAATACAATGGAGACTAACTTTAACATAACTTAGTTGCCAGTCACGGGGAAATCGATGTGTGGGCGCTAATGGGAAATATGTCAACACTCGTAACTAGTAATAACAATTCACGTGTCTGTATAAACAGCAACAGGGGGTTTTCGCATTAACTCTGGATTATTTTCAATTTCATCTACAAGGCATTCTATTCTTTTCTAAATTAGAGGGCCAAAATCAGTAGATTTTTTTACACATGCCTTCTAATTGCTGCTCACGAAAAATAGATACCAGGGGTTCTAAAGTTTTAGATTGCCAAGGGTCTATTTTTATATATTTAAAAGGGGTACCGTATACAACATCAAAGCTGGGAAACACTGGGGTTTTGAAAGAAATTTTCACATGATCTTGGGGGTAGGAAACACAGAGTAATTTAGAAGTGGGTCCCTAAATGTATAAACACATAGACAATTTCAGGATGTTTTTAACCAACGGTTCTAAATCTTCACCTTGGGAAAGGATACACTTTGACTATACGGGCATGAGTGTCCTTACAGAAAACTTGTTGTCAACTACTGAAGTGGATATATGGAATGGAATGTGTGGGGCCTGTGAAGGATCTACCACCTTGCCCTCCCAGAGCTGGGCTCTTGGGGATTGCGTAGTTTCGCAGTGGTTTCGGCTTCTAGGCAGTCGTGTTACAGTTCGATTCTCTAGCAAGCAGTGCCATTTTCACTTCAACTGTGATTTTGTAGGCAAGTTTGTGTTAGTTTAGAATAATTGTACATCATAAGAGAGCCGCCATTGAAACAAGGGAAGTAATTATCATCATCAATGTTTTTGCCACCTTCCCTTTACAGGAGGATCTAAAATAATACAGTGAATATTTCCATAACATACATAGATACAGTGTGCAAATAATATCTTAACATCAAGTAAGGTATACATAGTAAAAACATTTTCTTCTTTTCTTTTCTTCTCTACCTTTTTTTTTTTTTATAATTATGATTTAATACTTTATTATCTTCACAACAATTTGACACAAATATTTAGACAATACATGATATTGAGGTGACTTCACCGTTCATCCACTGGGGTTTAGATGTGTCCCTGGTGAGAACATTGTACGTCTTGCGCCACAGCATGTGAATAGTCACTGTGTTGACATATGCGTAGTAGATTATGAGATGGATGGCAACCTCTTCATACAGAGCAATTACATGGCCACGAACAACATCAGAGCGTGTTTACTCTCGACATGAAAAAAAGAAATAAAATACAAAAGAAAAGATTAAACATGTTTTCAAAACATATAATCATTACAATTCATCTTCAACAACAACAAAAACAAATTAATGGGGCATCTCCCTTTTTGTCAACTATGAACTTGCTATGTCGGGGTACAACCGTTTAACTGTTTCCTTCTTCTCTAACCCTATAAGCTCAATTGCCTCTGGTAAAACAGGTTGGGAAGTCGTTGCTACAGCAAATTCTTCTCCTTCATGACTTGGTGTCTTTGGAACACATCTTCTTAGTATCCAGTTTTTCATTTGTGTAATTGTTATCTTTCTTCTTTTTAAATAGACAAGAAGCATCACTATACAAAGAATCTCAAGTAAAGTCAAGACAACTGTTCGGTCTCTGCTAGTACCTGACGACATGTCTTCAAGACTTCGCATCTGGTTCAACTCATGAGTAAAAGCACTGAAATCTATTTTCTTTACATCCTTCAAGTGAGATGGTATCTTACTATAATCTATTGAAGGCATATTTAATGTCATTCTTTTAG